CTTGACTCAACTTTCCTGTTATTTTTCTAGTGATGGTACTATGAACTGTTATAAATCTCTTATAAGTAATTCAAGCTGGCTATCCATAAACTTAGTATTTTCCAATAATTTTAGTGAAGTACTTAACAATGAATACACATCTCATAAATCAAAATCTTGGAAACAAAAGAAAACCTGATTTTATACTATTATTCATTAAAATTAAAACACACTCATAAAAATATGAATATGCATACACTTTCATACACTTCTAAGGAAAAGTGTTAAATTATATCTGGCATTTCATAGATGACTAGGCATTAATATTTATATGAAAAAATTCAAATTAAATGCTCTCTTTATATGTGAAAATTTTATATTTTTATGTTAACATAGTGGATTATGTCTCATACAAAAAGAACTTAATAGAAATATGAAATTTATCCAAATACTATTTGTTCTGAGTGAGTGATGAGATTTTAAATTTATTTTTGTAGCTTTATGGCTTGTGCTTCTTTAAAATTTGTTCTGCATTCACTAAATACTACACTGGAATGTTTTAAAAATGAAATATATTATTGTAATTAGAACATGAGATCTGAATACGATCATAAAGTCTACAAAGTATCTCAAGCTCTGCATTAACCAGCAGTCAGGAAGCATCACTGTTTCCTTAGTGGGGAAAGTTTCCTGCCTCTGGCAGCTCCATATGAAGTAAAGACCAAAGGTTAATAAAGGCCCTAGACTAATCATCGTGTCTTGTAGTCATCAGCATCGGCCATCATTTTCCGGACAAAATTGAAACATTTTAACCACAAGCACTATTCCTTCAATGTCTGCATGGACTAAAAACCACCAATTCACTTAAAATTAAACAAATACTAATGAGAAAGTATTTGCAATAGAACTTTCTAATACTTATCTACAAAGACAGTATCACTAATGATAATTTATAGACTTGTTGTCAAGGTACATGAGTACATTTTGGTGGTTACAAACCCTTCAACAGTCTCTGCATGCCTTTCCACGATCTACTTCCCTGAGCTACCTACGTGTTCACTATGTATATTCTACATTCCATAAACTTCGATCTTAACCTTGTGGTGAGCAAATTAGAGGAATTTGTCATCAATGTGACTGGATGAGTCCCTTAATGCATGAGAAAATGGTACCTTGTCAGTCAACAATTCCCTTATTTTCTTTATGCTTAAAAGAAACAGATTTAGCTCAGTGGCATAAGCGCCTGCCTTGCAAGCAGGCAGTTGTGAGTTCGATCCCTGGTACTGATAAAAAGGAAAAAGACAAAAAAAAAAAAAAAAAAAAAAAAAAGAAGAAGAAAGGAACAGTTTTCCCAGTAGAATCTGAAAATGTCAAGGTTCTACTTTTATGTGTTCTATGTTCTCCTGGCGAAGACCCCTTCAATAATTTTTCATCCTTTATGGAAATCATTCCTTTGAAGGGCAAACTCCTAGTGTTACTGCTTGGACATGACACAGTTGGATGACAATGTCCCATAGAAATTTAGTGGCCTTTGGGATACAGCGAGGAACCATAACACGTAACAATCAGCAGTTTGAAGTGTGTGATATGAAGTTAGGTAAAACTAAGGATGGATCTAAATTTGTTCATTATCGATCTATTGAAAGACCTATAAAATAGCCAGGCTTGCAGAACTCATTTTACTTGAGGTCATCAGAATTCTGCTGTAACAGTATCTGGGGAGTGGGGCACATGCTTTACACTCTACTATGTAAAATCGCACTTAACTCATACACAGATCTCCTAATACTGTATACATGTGAGCCTCCTAGACTGATATGAAATAACAAGACCTACAATACCATGTCTCATTTTTCAGGTCATTGAGATTTTCAATACATGTTGACTTAAATGATTTTTAAAAGTTGTTTAATTATTAATCTATATTCAACTGGTATATCATAAAACTAAATTCCTTATTATTAACAGATCTTCTAATTCTATTCCCCCATATTCTTTCTAAAACTCCAAGACAAATAATAAAATTCAAAAGATTCAAAAGCCTCATATGATCACCTATCTTTTCATAAGACTGATAATTACAATCTAGGAATAAGAAACCAGAATTTGTTTTATAACAATCCTGAGTGCATTAAGTTAAAGAAATTCACAGAGAACTAGAAACTATTTTGGACATATCAACACTCGCACATTATTGTTCTTGATGTTAATGTCAGCTATTTGCTGTTGATGACTACAGAAAGCTAGTTAAGCTGAGTGAGGAGTGAGAATAATTGAGTTCCAGAATCACAGCAGGAAAGAAGAAAGGTAGACAATGGACACCTTAGTTTGCAATCTCTGTGCTGCTCTGCTGATCACCTGCAGTGGTGGAGTGCTGGGATGTGTGGTTTTTAAGCATAAGTGGGAATTAATATGACATGCTTGTGTTTCTGGGGAAGATCATGTTATAAATAAAACAATAACATGGCAAAAAAAAAAGCCAGCAAGCATCTTTACAGATGAGCAGATGACAGGATGTGCCCAGACTCATTCCTTGCATAGAATATGTACTTAATAAATATTGTTCAGCATTATAGGAAGACTTACTTCTGATTCCAACACCCAGGATAAAAGTAATCAAGATAGAGAAGACATTTCTTACTTTTCTCATTAGAAAAATGGCCAAATTTCTGTTACTAAATAAACCGAAGTTATTTCTTTTTTACTTAAAAATGAACTTCGAGAGCCAGTGATTTATCTCAGGAGCAGAAGTGGCTATCTTGGTCATGAGTGTGTTCAATCCCTGGTAACACGGATACCCATAGAGAGCCTCATAATTGCGTATCACTTCTAAAAAGTTTATGAGAATTGATTATGTAATGCATGATGAAATGAATAGATATTTTGAAGAAAAAGAGACATTAAGGTACCCAGTCCTGATTCCATAGTGTCATGATGTGAAATCCAATGACACTACTATTCTTTGTTAGAGTGATTTTAGTCTGTTTTATTTTGTTTAATTTCAACTGACCTGAAAATATGGACAGCTGTTTTGAAGAGAATGGGAGACACTGTTGTGGGGGATGAGGTGTCACTTTGTAGGCCCAACCCCCTCTAACCTACAATTTACAATAGCCGCCCTGGTATGCGAGAAGGAGGTAGAATAGGAATGCCTGTTCTCAGTGAGCCCCTCACCCTCTGGAATCCATACTGTGAGCTGGCTTTGTTTTGCAGAAGTCTTGAGGAAGTGGCTGGCCACCCTTTGTGACACTAACAGCAGACAAATTAACAACATTCTTGAGCTAATGAATTTTTTCCTGGGCTAGAGAAGTTATGAGAACTGGTTGTGATTATTTACTTCACTTAGATAGCTTTAGAATAAACATTGTAGTCTGTCACGTTGTAGCTTGCCACAAAGAATGCCTTTTCACTACTTAATTATCTGGGCTCTGTGAATTGATCGGGTTTACTATATATGAATCCTAAAATAAAGATTGTGCGTGCAGTGCAGTGTAACGCGGTGCAGACAGCAAAGGTGTCTCTCCTGTCTTTCTTTTCCAAGCGCTGTACCCCCCGTGTCCCGACAAGGCGTGCGTGTGTGTTTACCTTGCCCGGAGTTCAGAGTGCCCTAGACACTCACGACACACTGTGACAGCCATTGTTGACTTCCTTATTGTCTAATCTTGAAGACCTAAAATGCCTTCATCATCCTGTTCTGATCAGTTTTATACTATTGTATTTTGTATGTATTCATTGTATGTGAAGATATGGACAACTATTTGGAAGAAAACAAGAGAAAATATGATCGACATATTGAAGTAAACATCTCCAGTTGTTTTGTTTTGAAATCTGTCTCTTACTTGGTTTTTCTATGATCTGTTTTGTTCTGTTTAATTTTACCCTCTTTAAAAAATTTAAAAAAAAATAACAGAATTTTCTTTTTGGCAATCCACCCCCCCCCCACACACACACACAAAAGAACTTCTTCAGTTTGAGATGATAATTGTATTTAAATATGTAAAAAGCAAATGTTCCACACAAGGTAATTTAAATGTATTTAAATAAAAAAGTATTCCTCCTACTGAATATGGAAAGTGGCACACACAACAACATAAAAGTTATTAACAGTTATTGTTTATCTCTCTAGTCACTGGTCCAAAAGCAGCATTCTGTATTACAGTTTTTGTTTGTTTTTTCTTGCTGAGATAACAAATTGCTACAAATTTAGCAGTATAAAGCATCATAACTTATTCTCCTACTGTCCCCCACCATCAGAATTTTAAAGTGAATTTCATGGGACTTGATTCCCTGTCAGTTTGGCTAGTTCCTTGTGGAGGCTGGGAGAGAATCATTTCCATTATCTTTTCATCTGCTGCTTCTTTTATCATACAGACTTCATTTCACCATCTTTTTTCATCCTTACAGGTAAATTATCACTTACCTGTGTAATAATTTTCCCACTTCAAGATCCTTAGCTTAATCACATTTACAATTTCTTTTCTCATGTATGATAATATTCATGGGGGCCACAAATTGGGAAATGAGTATCTTCAGGAATTCATTGTTCATTCTGTTACATGTATGGTTTGGGTCAGAATCCTAGTTATTTGTAGGTTCTGATAAATAGTTTTATACAGGAAAATATCAATAACCAAAATCAACTAATAATCACTTATAATATTGAAGCATTCTTCAAAAACCTTGGAATGTAGCAGTGTAGATCTCCAGTGAATCTCTAATATAAGTCCTGCTTTATGCAGCTCTTCCAAAGATAATATTCCTCAATACTGAATTAAACTAATTGTGGTTAAAACTAAACACTTTGTGAAAATGGCTGCTTTTGATAACAAAAGTACCTAAGAAATTATAATTAATTTTCATTTTATTTATAAAGTAGGTAACAAAATCAAACTACACTCAATACAGTTAATGGCAACTTTGATTTTTGGTAAAGTCTGCAAATTTAGTTTTGGCTACATGAGGCTTTTGACAGTGTAGGTGTTATGTTAGGGAACTGGAGAGGAGAAGAGAAAGGTGCTCACCTTAAATAATAAATCCTTCTTCCCATAACGAAGTTCCTTCAGCTGGGCTTGGATTTTTTTTGACTGTAAAAGCAGAAACATAGATTAGAGCTTAAGACCAATTTTATTTTCAAACTTGAAGATTAAAAATCTTCAGAACACACAAGAATATATTTTCAGGCAAACAAACCACAATCCAAATGGTTTAGAAATAAAACAGAAAATTTTAAATTCTGATTTATATCTTAAACATTCAGCCATTTGCCAGAGAATGAGAAACACCAAACACTGTCTAAAATGTCTATCTTTAAATGTATTATTGAGAGAAATTTCCTTTTGGTTTTTTCACTACTATCATTTTATTTACTTTTCTCTCATTGCTGAGACCAAACACCCAATACCCAAGGTTAAAAGGGGAAAGGTTTATTTAATTCAGTTTGTAGAGCTTCCAATATTCAGCCCAAGGTAGGGTGGCATATGGCAGATGTGTAACAGTTCACAGTGGGTGGTGGACCACAAAATCGACAAGCAAGGAAGGGAAGCAAACCTCTTTCTGTCCCTTATATTCTATCCAGTGCACCAGGATTAGGGTGGTGCCAATCAACTCAGTGGACAGATCCAGCAATCAGACACACTTAATCCCAGAACCTTAATCTTAACACTGCACTACAAATCAATACACACTCTAAACTCACTCACTGCTATTACAGCATGAGACTTTGAGGGAACATCCATACATAAACTGTCATATTTCACCCTGGGTCCCCAAAGACCCATGCCTATCCCTTTGTTGAAAAGGTATTTAGTCTTTCTCTGAATTTTGAAATCCCTAACAGTTTTAGTCCAAGTTAAATGACTCTTCTGACATGTAAGGCCAACCCATAGCTGTGAGCCACTCTGCAAATGAAAAGAAAGTTAAACCTTTCCAACATTCAACAGCAAAAGACAGACATTTCCACTCTAAAAGTTGCAAACATGGGGGTTATTGTTGATCCATTGTGTAAACTTGAGAAGTTTAGAAACTTAATGAAGTGACTAATCAGGGGACCAGAGTCCTCACTTTGTAAACATCCTCATACTGTGGAAGACAAGGGAATGTGAGGTAGTGTGAGAGATACACCCACCTTACAGCAAGTTATAATATAAGGGAGGAGAAGAATTTCCCTCCTCTTTTGCTCTTCCCATTTTGCTATCTTCTCCTACCTTGAAGTGTTGCCCCTGTGCATGCTACCCTGCTTGGAAGCCTATTGATTATGGACTGAAACCTCCACAAACTGTGAGCTAAATCTTTCCTTCTTAATGTTTGGTGTCATGTATTTCATTCCAATAACAAGAGAAAAGTAACTAAGACAGAGAGATACAAAGGAAGAGGACTAAAAGAAATATAAAATCCAGCAGGGCAAATACTAAGTCCCATGTAGTTCCGTATACAGCATCTGAGGAAATCAGTGGTAAGTTGTGAGTTCCACAGTGCATCATTGGCTCTGACCTTATGGCCCTTCATGTGGTTGTACCTCCCATTCCTTCTCTATGGGCCCTATCTGCTAACACATTGCAACTTTCCTCAAACAATCCACTTCCTAGCTTCTCCAAACTCCTGGAGACTTTACTGCACACTTGGTTTCACAGATGGTTTTGCACACTGTGCTTCTGGGAGCACATTGCCTGGCCTTCCAGGGCTTCTGAAATCTGAGTGGATGTCTTCATAGGCCCACAAATAATTCATTCTGCATGCACTTAAACCCACACCATGTGGATGATGCCATGATGTGCTGCCAGCTGCAGCAGTAGCCCAGCTTACTTCCCTCTTGCCTGTAGGGGTCCTGTACCTGGACCACTGAAGACTCTGAATCCAATTTCAAAGAGCAAATTCTCTAAGCCATTGCCATTATACAAGATCATGCTCTAGGGATTTCTTCTCAAAATAAACCCCTTTTTCACTTTTGCAATTTTAAGGCTGACAAAATTTCATACTGCTTTTTGTGAGGTCCCTAGGCCATTTTTCCTATTCTCCTAATCCTCCTCAGTAATCAAGATGTTGTCTGCTCTATCTTTGTAGTTCACAGCTTCACTGGAGCTTCTCCAGGCATTCTTCTGACCCCTGTGATCTTGATTCTCAATATAAATCTGCCCAAAAGTCCCAATAGTAGCCACGCCACTGCTTCAATAGTAAAGTGCCTTAACATTTCTGTTTCCTGGTAAATAAGCCTGTTGCCCTTAATCTAAATCTCATGCAAAGTCTCTGGACACGAGTAAAATTCAGAAAAAATATCTTCTATTACACAATACATCATCTGGAATCCAGCAATCAATGGAATCCCTCTTCACAGCAGAAATTTGACAAGCTGAGACTTTATAAGATTGCTAGTCTTCCGAGCTCTGGCCAGAATTGCCCATATAGTATAGTATAAGCCATTCTAGCTATACTTTTTCAGGTAGAATCACCTAACCTGTTCCACAAGACACCCCAAAAGCTTCTGAATCAGATGGCCAAGAATAGTCACAGCAACAACGCCACTCTTGATACAAAATTCTGTCTTAGTTACTTTTCTTTCTCCTAAGACAAAATACCCAAAATTAAAAGCTAAAGTGGAAAAAGTTGGTTTACCTAACAGTTTGTAGACCTTTCATTCCATAATCGTCTAGCACTAAGGCATGTGGGACATGGCAGAGAGGTAATAGTTCAATGAGTGGCAAAAGATAGCAAAATTAACAGACAAATGGTAGACACAAGCCTCTTTCTGTCCCTTCTGTTGTATCCATGCTACTGGGATTATAGTAGTGGCAATCCAGTCAGTGGACTGATCATCCATCCTTACTCCCAGAACTCTTAATCTCAGCATTGCACTGCAAATTAATTATATGCTTTGGATTCAGCCACCTTTGAAAAATCCTATGAATGCCCAAGGTGTTGGGGGGACATCTGGACATAAACCATAACAATTGTAACTGAAACACAAAACTTTTCTGTCATCAGGGTATGACCTATAGCTTAGCTTTAGATATTTCTCATTTTTGTACCTATGTACAGTTGTCACTGGCTATATTCAATTACTTTATTTTTAAAATTAAAATATTGTTTAATAAATTGATAGATTAATATTAAATTGATGATTGAGTTAGATACAATTTATATACAATCAAATAAAACATTTCGTATAATGTACTATACTTCAGAGGTGAACAGTGCTTTTACATTAGAAGAATGTGCTTACAGAGGACATTACAATTTTCTGAAGAGCTTCTTATGTATTATGGATATTTATTCTGAAGGATGTTGTAATTTATACATCTTGGTAGATGAAGAGACTTTTAAGAATGTCATTTTAAGTTGAAAATGTGCTTTGCAAATAAGTCTCTGCCAGCAGATGTATGTGACTCCTACACTAAGTTATGTTCTCTACAGGCACAGGCAACAAATATGTGTTGCAATATATCAGGGGATGCTTGTTATGGAACTTATTAAGGTAAGGACATCTGCTCACTTTATCATGCTATTTCTACACATAGGACTGTATGTCCTGTATCTTTACCCAAGAGAAACACTCACATACCCACACACACATACAAACAGAGATTGTGAAGATATAAATAATAGTATAATGTTAACTTTAACTATAGTAACTAAAATTATAGATGATACTTAGTTCTTTATCATCTACAGTACAATCAGAACAACACAGAGATCAAAGGAGTCCCTGAACACCAAGAAAATGTGTGAACTGTTCCATATTTTTCAGGGACTAATTTTTGTATTAATAGTGATTGTATCATTAGTGTCTAGCACCAAGTAGGCACAACTCAATTTTCTGCAATCTCCAAAGGTCCTCAACTAAGAGAAATCGCATTGTACACAAAAATGGTGATAGAATCCTTACTCAAAGTACCTAAAAGCTGGAAACCACCCAACGGCCATTTACCTGGTAAGCAAAGAAACTTTAGTACACTCATGGAGTGGGATATTAGAATAGTGTAAAGCAATTTGAAAAGAAAAATAAAGTACTAAACCATGTAAAAACAGAAAAGAATTTCATCATAATGTGTGAACAAATCAAATTCTTAGAAACTGCATTTTGTAAGACTCTATTCACATGGTATTCTAAGAAGGTCATGTTAATATGGATGGGAATCATGTTAGTAACTAATGTTAGCTGGGGACTTAAAGGTAAATGTTAGTGTAAAACAGCAAAAGGGAATTATTTAGAGTACAGAAACCTCCTATCCTTAAATTTGTGCATGTGTCAAACTTACTAACCTATATATTTGATGAAATGAAGTGTACTGTATCTACTTCACATCTCAATAAAATTAAATTTAAAAAGTAGCTGTTCATGGAAGCCAAACAACACAGGAAATTATGTGTCTATTAAAGAAAATATCCTCTGGTTACTGAAATATTATAAGTTTCTAAGGATACATAGCATGTATATGATTTTTCCACTGGCAAATTTGCAAATGTACTGTGGTTCAACTTCCTACAAATTTAAGAGTATTTTCTATCATGTCAAATGCATTAACACTGTAATGATTCTTAAATTATTACCTAGAGTTTTCTCATTTATATAACATTTAAACATTTATATAAATGTTTTCTCATTTATATAAAAGAAGTCACTCCTTTTGTATTGATAGGAATAGTGATATGAAATTATTCACACTTAAGAAAAAAAAGTTGTCATCGTCGAATTATGATTGTTAATGGTTTCAAGAATGTAAAGTCACTTGAGCACTGAGCCCCTTTAAATTTTTATTTTTTTACTTCAGATTTAACATTTGATACAACCCTGCCCTCTCCTAGTTCCCCCAGTGACTCACAGTCATGACATTCCACACACAAACTCTGTCACATGTTAACTTTCTAAGACAGTTCTGATTTGCGGGTCATTCCTATTTTGTGCTACTTGTTTCAATAAAGGAGGAATTTTGCCATTTTGTGCAATTTTCAATGAAAGCTTGACTAGCATTTTAGTCTCCTTGATAATGTCTTGTGTCTGGGTCTCCTTTATAGTGAGATCAGTGATCTTGTATGAAAGACAGCTTTTTTTTTCAACTAGTATTGACAGAGTCAAGAGACATGAGAGGTTACTGCCTCTTAGGCTACGCGTGATCCATTTTTGTTTGAATGTTTTTCTGTATTTAGTGGCTATGATTTGATAGATGGTAGATCTCTTGAGTTTTGTTAGAACAGTGTAAAAATAACCTTGTGAAGTTGTTTGTACAGTCTCTATGTTTTCTATATAGCACATTCCAGCACTCTACTAATTTTTCAGTGAGATAAGCAGCAAAATTTATTCTGAGACTCTGAGGAAAAACTACAGGAAAAATCAATACTTTATGGCTGAGGCCACCTGTTGCAATGTTCATTAATTTGAAAAATAGTCGTGCTGACTACCAGTTTTTAAGTCACCTGTTGCAAAGTTGACATGATCAAATGAATAACTTTCAAAGAACGGAGATATTGGAATTTCAGTAATTTTGGCTACATAATAACTGCAAGTAGAATTCTAAATATTGGTACAAGTAAGCTATGAACTTTTCACAACAAAGTTCCATGACCTTGAAGTTGGAAATCAGGATGATGATGATGATGGTAAGAAGATAAAGACAATGCAGAATTAGACAAGAATGACAGATCATCTTAGCTAGGCTTCTAGCCCCTTTTCTAGATGCTCTCCTACCACGGCTTCTTCTGTTATTTTTTCTGTGAACTAGCAGTGAGATGATGAAGAAAGGTTTTTCTAGTAGCCATCCTTGTTAGGGTTCTGACATGACCAGCTAACGCGTATTTACTTATGTGAAAATACTAAAAGCTTATGGTTTCCTACACTGAAGATAAGCTACTTTTCAGCATCTCAACTAGAGGGACATACTGCTGTTTTGCTTTTGGCAATGAGATGAATCAAATGATTCCATTTGCCATCAGACTACGTTCAATGTTTCTTGTGACAGACTAAATATATCCCTCCCCAGTGACTCAGTATGGTAAACTCTCTACTGATTGCATGAGTTACTAACAGTAAGCCAAAAGAATATATTGTCATGAACCAATTGCATTTCAAACAGATAATGCTTTCATGAAGGTTAGAACAATACATAAATAATAATTTGAAATAATATGATTTCTGAAGCCTTGAGTTAAAGAAAAATTATGAATCCCTATTTTTCCTTAAACATTAAAAATACTTTATTGCTCATTTTGTGCCTACGTAAATTCTGGAAACGTGTCTATCTCAGAATAGACTTTCTGTATAGACACTGCTTACCCAAAGCAACTTTCTGCTTGTTCCCTCCATTGTAAGCCATATTTAGCACCTACACAGATGACATTTGTGCAAGTTCTAGGATGTTGATAACTACAAACAATGTCAAGTCTATTTCTGTCCAGATGCAAACATGAAGTGAAATAAAAAAAATTATGCTCAATCAAATCTACAAAGCATTGCCTCATTTTTTATCTAATTGAGCAACAACATGCAGTCCCTCTGTATGTGAGTTTTGGAAAGATATTATCAGAAGGATTATATTGCATGTTAGATTTAACTTGAAGTGGTACTGATAATGACATATTTTTAATTTTAATGCTAATTTTTATTTTTTGCTTATGAAAGAATATTTTGCCTGATTTAATAAAGTAAATTCAAGTTTGGGCTGGACATATGCCCACTGTTTTAATACTGCAATGATATTTTTTAGTCTGCTGTTCCTTGGCCAACCATGTGTCCTGGTCCTCCTTCCTTCCTGGAGCACTGAAGAGCAATGGTCATGCTCACAAGTCACCTTCTCTTCCCTCCCACAGAAAGAGGACAGTAATGGAGGAGGGGACATTAGAGATGGACTGCAGGGATACAGGTCCCCAGATCTGTCTGGCTGCACTTCTCCAGAAGTATGGGAAATGGGGAAGTATTAAACCCCGGTAAGCCACACTTCTCGTTCTGCCCCAGTCTCCTTTCTCTAGTTTCCCTCCACGAAGTGAAAGCTTTCATACCTGTTCTCATCAATCACCAGCTTTTACTGGAATAAATTACACACATCTTATCCATCTCTTTATTCACTACTTGGGGAACCCAACTATCAAAGGGCTCTTCTCTCCTCTCATTGAAGATCGTAAAACCCGCTTTTGATGACATCACTACTATTTCAGGTCCACCAGTAAGATTACTTAGTAGGACCTACATGTGTTCATGACAATGCCATAGATAGATTCCAAGAGGAGTAATATAGGAAATTGATTTTCAGTTCAATCTATATTAACTAGGATGATATTTTCCTCCATGAAAATTTCATGAGACAATTTTCACACAGAGCAAATAAAACCAGTGACTCTGTTTGTTTCATAAAGCATAAGATCATTCTGACACTCAGCCATTGCGACAAAACACAGATGCCACACAGATGGTGCTAGAACCATACAAAAGAAGAAATGATGATACACACACTAAGGAAACTCTGATACTGCTGGGGTGCCCCAGTTCACAGACTTAACTCATTCCAAGATTTTGGTCATGACAGGAATCAAATTCTTCCATATGTTTCAGTGTCACCATTGGGCACTTAGGTAGTGGGGATATTTCTCCAAATTCTTCTCTTTAGGAACTGAATTGTTTGTGAACAGTAGTGTTTGTGAACGGAGGTGTCACTGTATAGTTAAGGCTGGAATCTAGCTCAGAATAGTACTTCATGAAAGTGACACAATACAATTTTTTTAGAGGTTCAGTGTAAGGCATTCATATACATCCAAAAATTTAAAATGTGTTGTATGTTCTTTCCCTAGATAGTACTTTTAGTTTAGAAAACATTACTAGATGTCTGGATTAAAACGTCAAAATCCAATCTGTCCTGGGTACCATGTCCATCCAGCCCAAGCTAGAAGCGAAAACATACTCACCTCTTCTGCGTGAATCCCGCAAAGCTTGCTTCCTGAAAGGAGTTTGTTTTTCAAGCTTTTGTTCTGAGAAAAAAAATACAGGTTTATGCTGGGAAGTGATAAAATATGAATAATTAAAATAGATAATCCAGCAATATTTTCTTAAGTTTGGATCACAGATTTTCTTGATGCCAAGCGTGGTAGAATTATAAAAAATGGATTACAATCTATAAAGCATTTTTCCTTTAATTCACTAAAAATTTTCATGTATTATATCAGTGCATTCATTTAAAAAGATTAAACTCAGCCTTACAGTTAACTTGTGTTTATTATACATATATATATAATATATATAAATATATATTATATATAATATATATTAATATATTATACTTGTATATTATATATTATACATATATATTATACTTATATGTTTATTATACTTATATAAGTGACTTTATGAACCAATTTAGATTCAAACCTGCAGTGCTGCTAGTTTCTGAAAGGACTCCTATGAATTGTCGACATTATTCTGCATAGGGTCTTCTTGTGTCATCTTCTAATGTAGCAGCAAATCCATAGGAAAATATAGGCTCTAGCTGTACAGTTTCCTGATGTTCTCTGTACCTGGACACTGTGCTCTAACAGTTCCTTTGAAGGGTGTTTTTGATTCCCAGCCCAGTGTTCTTTCTGCTCAGTGAAGATCAGACAGATCTGTTATTCCTTTTAATCTCCCATACTTGACATAGGTTTCCAGATAAGCATTTGTTCCTAGGATGCTTCATGACCGTCTGAGACTCGGTGCTCGCAGACTCCTATTCCAGGGTCAGGGATGGGACTCAGAGCTCAGAGCTCACCCAGAAAGGGCTGCAGTCCTGAGTCACACATTCCCATCCCAGCTACTCAGAAATACTTTATTAGCATCATCACGCACAGAAATGTCCTGTCTCTTGCCTTGATAACTGTAGAAAATAGACATTAGGTGGGCAGGGTGATGGAGGGCAAAGATCCTTGTAAAACATATAGAATTCAGACACCCTCTCTCTCTCCAAGAATAAACCACAAATTGGTGCAAGTACTTTTCACACAGAATGAGGTCAGGTGCCCCATGCAGTAAGTACCTTGAGCAAATTGATCTTGAGTGGAGACAGAATAGGCACATGAATACAGTTATCAGTTAAGATTCTCTACCATAGCTCCCATACGATTCAAAGCACAGTTTTGTATTTTTTTCTATCATGCTGTCTAGAGGTATAGCTGTCCCAGATTGAAAGGATATTTGGTCTGCTTTTTTCTATGTAGCTGTGTTGAGATTCTTGAAACTTTAGAACTTCAGTGCTGTGAAATGTGTTAAATAAGTCAAGATCTTCATACTCAGCATGCAACAATGTTCGATATTAAGAAATGACTTTTTGAAGGTATTTGTACTCAGAATGCAATTGCACCATTCCTACATTTAATGGCATGGGCATTATGACAAGCTTCTCTATAACAATATATTGTAACGCTGAAGAGGTACTTAAATGGAAGAGTGGAAATTTCCTTCCAACTGATACCAGCGAAGTACATGTGATAAGAGAATTGATTCCAGCACAAAGCACGCACAGTCATGCACACCTGAGTAACATTATTAGAAATAAGAAATTCTTATAAATCAATGAAGTCAATACTATGTGTAAATATTGGCCTGTGTGGACCATACTAAATTGTGCACCCCTCTTAAGATTGTTTAACTGTTTTTTTTTTCCTTTTCCCCTTCCCTTCCCGTTTCTCTCTTTACCTTGCTCTTTTGTTCTTTCCTTCTGTGCCTCTTTCTTTCTTTCTTTCTTTCTTTCTTTCTTTCTTTCTTTCTTTCTTTCTTTTTTTGTTTCTAGATTTATTAAAGCTGCTATGGGAAAATTCTGAATATCAATGAATGGGGAAGACTAGTATATATTATAACTTCAGTCTTTTAAAACTGATACAGTTTGATATTTTTTATGAGAGGAAAGGATTAAATTTAAGGGGAAGGAACTATAAGGAGAAGTATTTCTTAACACACTATTTATGCTTTTCACCCTTTCTCTTTGCTTATCTGATTCAGCTCCAAAACAAATTGTTACTTAATTCCTTGGAACAATTTTTCCTTGATCAAGATGTGACTCCAAATTAACAGAGCAACAAGCAGTGAGGAACATCTCACACCCTCTCACACTGATTTCCTCAAGATTAAGGTTCGATGCTGTAGCACTATGGCTGGGCAAAGTTAAAAAGATTTACATTCTGTAGACTCCTCAGAGTCTTCATGGTAACACTGAGCATGGCATAAAGGGATTGCTGACACTTCTTTGACGAGGGATTACTTTGAAACAATAAATTTACACTTCATTCCCAATTAGTAACTAAACTATCAGTATTTTCTGGTGTTTAATGTTTCTAAGCGAAGGCAAAGTAAATCACACTAAATATTCTTATGCCTTTGGTTTACATTTTACTTTTTATAATGCTAATGAAAGAATTATTCTTATCCTTATGAAAATGATTAAAAAGAAAAAAATGTATAGAACTTTTACATGGCTCACAATAAAGGAGAGAAATGGGATCTCAAGTCCAAACACAGCTAAGACTGCCAGGCATTTACATTGACTTGTACACTTGGAGGGCAGCAGATAGGAAATATAATTCTAGAAAAAACTTTAAAAATTATTTTAAGGACGTTTATACTTCAAAACAAATTTACTGGAGAAACACTTAAAAATTGCAGAACAATTCATATGATAATTACATAGTATAATATGAAATTTACATACATTTTTGCAAATAATCAGGCATTGTATGACACTAATGAGCCGAGGAATAGTATTTGCAGAGACAGGCAGATACCAGGTTATGTAAGTAGATATCACTGTGTTGTGGAATTGACTGCACCCAAGTATATAGTTATACTCTCGCAAAAAGATGGATCAAAACTTCAAGGGGTCACCACTGGGTATGCAGTCAGCCAAAAAGCTGACATCACAGTCAGTTTTACATTTCACACATGTAGCTGTAGAAAAAGCAGGTATCTTCTCCTGTGGAGGATGCCTCCACATTTCTCCATTCCTGCATCAAGTTTACACGCAAAGTCATCACAGATCAGTTTAACCACACATGGCTAAAAACCTTCACAAAGTTTATCCTTTTTCTCTTGTAATGTTTTGCCTCCAATTAGAGGGCGTTTTCATTCATGCTTGCTGGATCTTCCCCATCTGGTTCCCAGGGATTCAGAAAATAAGTCCTGGGGACACCCACACACAATCTCAAACTAAGGCTGCTGCTAACACTCCGCATGTTTGATGTTTCTAATGAAATGCAAACATCTTGGGCACAAACAAATGTTAGAAACATTTGCTGGAACCCAGGTGTCTCTGTTATGTAATCTGCTCCCACAACACATCCACACACAAAATGGAAAGTGGGGTTTTTGGTATTTCAGCTTCAACAGTTCAACATTTGGAATTTAAAATTTTTGAATTGTAATTTATTTTGGGTTTCAGACATCGGGAATTTTGATCTTTCTCAATTTCAGCTTTTTAGGTCATGGAAATTTCTATTGTGTATTTCTTAATTAACACTGATATTAATGATGAAAGGGAATTCCAGTTTCAGCACCGACAGGTATCATTTTTAAATCTTTCTGTCTTTTACAACTTTGCTGATTTTTTTTTTTCTCTTTATTGCTTACTTGAGGGTTCTATTAAAATTTTCAACAGTGCTGGTGAACCTGTCTATTCCTGCTTCTAATTCTCTTAGCAATTCATGTGCTTTGAAGTCTTTTTTCTGTGCTTATAAGATTATGTCCCTAAAATGTGACTATTATCTTTCAAAAATAAGTTTAAAATCAAGATGGGTCAGAGCAGTGTGCATGCACGTATGACATGCCATAATTCTTTCTCTAAAAAATTTTTTTGTGTTTTTTGCAATACTCCCACTATCTTGTTTTGACTGATTATACTCTGTTCCGTTCTGTATGATAGTATCAATTTTGAGGATATAGGCAACTACTTTGAAGGCAATAAGACTTACTATGATGCCCATTCTGGTTTGACTATTATCCTCTTTTGAAGTCTTGTAATGTTTACAATATTTAGGTTTTATTGGTCTTCTTCTCTACTGTTTGTTCAACTTTATAATACCTAGTGAGATAGACAATTCTTCTTAAGAAAGCAAGAGGCATTACGGTAACCATTGTTGATAACCTTGTACTCTGTTTTTACATCATGTGCTATGTCTATCCTTGGTTTTGACTGATAGCTTTGTTTTGTCATATTTGATTTTATTCTCTTCCAAAGGAAAAACAAGTAATAAGAACTATGGGAGTAACAAAACCCCAAATATGTAAATTTTGTTGTAATAAAGAGAGAGAAAAAAAGTGCTCTAAAGGATACAACTGCAAGTATGTTTAGGTTAAATAGCTGACCATATTAATGTTTTTGATTGGATCATTGAACACAACTGTTTGCAGTCTCACTGTTTGAATGTCCACTTTGTATGCTTTGATACTGTGATTTGAGCAACTATCTCTAAGATGATAATGTGTAATCTATTAATTGGTGATTTCTTACTGTTCTTTTTTTATTTTTTTGTAGTTCTGTATTACTTGTACCCTTACACTGTTTTGTTTTGTTTTTTCTCTTTTTCCTTTTAAATAAATTTTTTAAAAAAGTTTGTGTTTTTTGTTGTTGATTCATTCAACTTATGTATCCTGATATCTATTATAATAAACTATATTTACATACTAATAAAACCACCAAAAGTTAAACAATTTTTGAATTGTTTATCAATCTCAGATTGTTATGACTGGCTTCTCTGCTTCAAAAGTATATAGATGTCCTGACAAAAGCACGGGAATAGTGGCACCAAAACAGGATATGCACACTGATTTTCTTGGGTGGGCTTTTGTTTTTTGTTTTGTTTTCCAGCAGAATTCTTAAATTTTTATCCTACTGCCCTTTTTTAGCCCAGGAATCTGTATACACGGTTCCTCAAATAGTTTATTTTTTAGTCTACTCTAATGTACTCCTTAACTCAGCCTATGTATGACATTCTTTTCGGGGTTAACTTCC